CTTGAAACCTGTGCTTGTGACCAGGTATCACCCCTGGTTTTTTGTATCTGTTTTTGTGACCGGGGTATCATCCTGGTCTTGTACCTGTGCTTGTGACCGGATCATTTCCCGGTCGTACCTGTGCTTGGGGCCCCGGGTATCAGTCCGGTCTTTTTAACCTGTGTTTTGTGACCTGGTATAAGTCCCTGGTCTTGTACCTGTGCTTGGGGGACCTGGAATCATTCCTGTCTTTTTCCTGTGCTTTTGACCTGGTATGGGTCCTGGTCTTGTACCTGTGCTTGTGACCAGGTATCATCCGGGTCCTTGTACCTGTGCTTGTGACCGGGTATCGTCCTGGTCTTTTTACCTGTGCTTGTCCCAGGTATCAGTCCGGCCCCTTGTACTGTGCTTGTGACCATATCATCCGGGGTCTTGTAACCTGTGCTTGTGACCAGGTATCATTCCCGGGTCTGTACCTGTGCTTGGGACCGGTATAAACCCTTTGGCCCTTGTGACCGGGGTATCAGCCCCCTGGTTTTGTACCTGTGTTTCCCTGACCAAAAAACAGTCCGGGTTCTTGTACCTGTGCTTGTGACCGGGGTATCAGTCCGGGCTTTTTACGAGGTATCATTTTCCTTTGGTCTTGTACCTGTGCTTGGGGACCGGGTATCAGCCCCGGGCCCTTGTACCTGGGGCTTGTGACCAGTACCATCCTGGTCTTGTACCTTTTCTTTTTGACCGGGTATCAGCCCTTTGGCCCTTGAAACCTGGCTTGTGACCAGGTATCATTCCTGGTCTTGAACCTGTGCTTGTGACCAGGTATCAGTCCTGGTCTGTGCCGGGTATAAAAGCCCCGGGGTTCTTGTACCGGGTGGCTTTGACCATTAACATTCCGGGTCTTGAACCTGTGCTTGTGCCAGGTATAAAGCCCCTGGTTTTGGGTACCGGGTGCTTGGCCCAGGAAACAGCCCCTGGCCCTTGTACCTTGCTTGTGCCTTTGGAAACAGCCCCCTGGCCCTTGTACCTGTGCTTGTGACCTGGAAATCAGTCCTGGTCTTGTACCTGGGGGTTGTAAACCAGGTATCAGCCTGGTTTTGGGTACCTGTGCTTGGACCTGGTATCATCCTGGTTTTGTACCTGTGCTTTTGACCAGGTATCATTTCCTGGTCTTTACCGGGCTTGTGACCAGGTATCGCCCCTGGTCTTGTACCTGGGGTTTTGTGACCAAAAACATTCCTGGCCCTTGTCCCTGTGCTTGTGACCAGGTATCGGGTTCCGGGTTCGTACCTGTCCCTTTGTGCCCCGGGTACCCGCCCCGGGCCCTTGTCCCTGTGCTTGTGACCGGTATCAGCCGGGTTTTTGTACCTGGCTTGTAAACCAGGTACAGCCCTTTGGTCTTGTCCCTGTGCTTGTGACCAGGTAACCAGTCCTGGTCTTTTTCCTGTGTTTGTAAACCCTGGAAACAGCCCCGGGTCTTGTACCTTGCTTGTGACCTGGAAATCAGTCCGGGTTCTTGACCTGTCTTTTGACCGGGTTTATAAAGCCCCGGGTCTTGTACCTGTGCTTTTTGCCCGGTAATCATCCGGGCCCTTGTAAACCAGGAATCAGCCCCCCCCCCCGGGGCTTGAAACCCTGTGTTGTGACCAGGTATCAGCCCTGGTCTTTACCTGTGTTTGTGACCTGTTTTCCATCAGGGTTCCTGAAAAGTCTTCCCTTAGTTCATTTTAAAATTATTTTTGCATATTACTACGCATTTTTGGGTGTTATTGTTTATCTGGCCCCCTTGTAACGTCCCTTTACCCCCTTTGTACCCCCCTTGTCCCCCCCTTTTGAAATCCCCTTGTACGCCCCTTGTACTTTCCTTTGTACCCCCTTTACCCCTTGTACTCACTTCTCTTTTCCATTGTTTTTTTTGTAAAACGCCCATTGTTTAAACCCCTCTCTGTCTCCCCCTCGTCTCTCTCTCTCTCTCTCCCAACTCCCCCTCTCTCTCTCTCTCCCCTCCTCTCTCCCCTCTCTTTTCCTCTCTCTCTCTCTCCTCTCTCTCTCCCTCTCCAAATCTCTCTCTCTCTTTCTCTCTTCATCTCCTTTTCCTCTCCCCCTCTCTCCCTCTCTTCTCCTCTCTCTCTCTCTCTCTCCCCTCTCTGAAACTGTAAGGCGGGTCATTCACTGTAAGTGCAGTCATTCATGTAAGTGCGGGTCAGTCACTGTAAGTGTTTTTTTTACGTAAGAAATACTTTGTATTTTTAGTTAGGTTAACCCAACAATTTGTGGGGGAATTTAAATACCTTTTGTAAAAATTTATGACTGGGGGGACTTAAACCCACTGGGGGGGTTGTAACGGAAGTGACTTACCCACTAAAGGGGGAAAATTTGGAAGTGCCCTTAAACCCCCCGAGGGTGAACGGGAATGACTTACCTCCCGGGGGGGTTTTAACTGGAAGTGACTTACCCCACCGGGGGTGTAACGGGGAAGTGATTTAAACCTCCCGAGGGTGAACGGAAGTGATTTACCCACTCGAGGGTGTAACGGGAAAAGGACTTACCTACCGAGGGTGAAACGGGAAGTGACTTACCCACCGGGGGGTTTTAAAAGGGAAGTGATTTCCCTTTCCGGGGTTTAACTGGAAGTAAATTTACCCCCGGGGGTTGTAACTGGGAGGGGATACCCACTGGGGTTTTTAACTGGAATGCCCTTATCCACCGAGGGTGAAAACGGGGAGTAAATTACCCACTGGGGGTGTAACTGGAAGTGACTTACCCACCGAGGGTGTAACTGGAAGTGACTTACCCACTGAGGGTGTAACTGGAAGTGACTTACCCACCGAGGGTGTAACTGGAAGTGACTTACCCACTGAAGGTGCAAGTGGAAGTGTCTTACCCACTGAAGTTGCATGTGGAAGAGTTTTACCCACTGAAATGAGAAGCGTCAACATGAAAAAGGCTGTCAGATCATCACTTGGTAAACCTATCACTGACCTTGATATCAAGGTCAAGTTGTTGAGGTTCTCACAATCTTCGTGTTAGATCAAGACTTGTCTGAGGACGACCCCAACACACAATAAACCTCTCTGTGTATATTGCAAGCTTGGTGTAGTGGCTCTGACGACCCCAACACACAATGAACCTCTCTGTGTATATTGTAAGCTTGGTGTAGTGGCTCTGACGACCCCAACACACAATGAACCTCTCTGTGTATATTGTAAGCTTGGTGTAGTGGCTCTGACGACCCCAACACACAATGAACCTCTCTGTGTATATTGTAAGCTTGGTGTAGTGGCTCTGACGACCCCAACACACAATGAACCTCTCTGTGTATATTGTAAGCTTGGTGTAGTGGCTCTGACGACCCCAACACACAATGAACCTCTCTGTGTATATTGTAAGCTTGGTGTAGTGGCTCTGACGACCCCAACACACAATGAACCTCTCTGTGTATATTGTAAGCTTGGTGTAGTGGCTCTGACGACCCCAACACACAATGAACCTCTCTGTGTATATTGTAAGCTTGGTGTAGTGGCTCTGACGACCCCAACAGACAATGAACCTCTCTGTGTATATTGTAAGCTTGGTGTAGTGGCTCTGACGACCCCAACAGACAATGAACCTCTCTGTGTATATTGTAAGCTTGGTGTAGTGGCTCTGACGACCCCAACAGACAACGAACCTCTCTGTGCATATTGTAAGCTTGGTGTAGTGGCTCTGACGACCCCAACACACAATGAACCTCTCTGTGTATATTGTAAGCTTGGTGTAGTGGCTCTGACGACCCCAACACACAATGAACCTCTCTGTGTATATTGTAAGCTTGGTGTAGTGGCTCTGACGACCCCAACAGACAATGAACCTCTCTGTGTATATTGTAAGCTTGGTGTAGTGGCTCTGACGACCCCAACAGACAATGAACCTCTCTGTGTATATTGTAAGCTTGGTGTAGTGGCTGTGACGACCCCAACAGACAATGAACCTCTCTGTGTATATTGTAAGCTTGGAGTAGTGGCTCTGACGACCCCAACACACAATGAACCTCTCTGTGTATATTGTAAGCTTGGTGTAGTGGCTCTGACGACCCCAACAGACAATGAACCTCTCTGTGTATATTGTAAGCTTGGAGTAGTGGCTCTGACGACCCCAACAGACAATGAACCTCTCTGTGTATATTGTAAGCTTGGTGTAGTGGCTGTGACGACCCCAACAGACAATGAACCTCTCTGTGTATATTGTAAGCTTGGAGTGGTGGCTCTGACGACCCCAACAGACAATGAACCTCTCTGTGTATATTGTAAGCTTGGAGTAGTGGCTCTGACGACCCCAACAGACAATGAACCTCTCTGTGTACATTGTAAGCTTTGTGTAGTGGCTGTGACGACCCCAACAGACAATGAACCTCTCTGTGTATATTGTAAGCTTGGTGTAGTGGCTCTGACGACCCCAACACACAATGAACCTCTCTGTGTATATTGTAAGCTTGGTGTAGTGGCTCTGACGACCCCAACACACATTGAACCTCTCTGTGTATACTGTAAGCTTGGAGTAGTGGCTCTGACGACCCCAACAGACAATGAACCTCTCTGTGTACATTGTAAGCTTGGAGTGGTGGCTCTGACTAATGTAATAGAAATCCGATTCTATCTACACTTTCTTGGCAATATTGCAAGTTGATAAATGAGAGACACTTGTGCAACATTCAGTTTGTTCTACATTCAATATATCTACACCAGGCTGAGGGACTGATTTCCTCAAACTCGTCATCTTCCACCGTTCTCTGAATCTGACTGAAGATGCCACTGGCTGGCGCAGCGTTTCCAGAACAAATACCCAAATCTACACAAGGGTCTTGTTTATCAGTTTATCGGTTTTCTAAAATGTTTATACAGTAATACAAGTAGGTAATTCTTCTCTGCAGACTCGATATGGACTGTGGGTCTCTCTGTTTCTCTCTGTCTCTGTTTCTCTTTCTCTGTCTCTGTCTGTCTGTCTCTGTCCGTCTGTCTCTCTCTCTCTCTCTCACCTAGCATACC